CGTCATCACAGACGGTCCTTACTTACTGTACCAGTGGTGTGCTTTTAAGAATGCTTACTGTTGACGATGTCGCTTGTAGTATATCGCATATTTTTTTGGTTTGTCTCATAACTTTTTTTAATTGCCTTTTTGTATTTGCAGCTGCGTAAAGTTTCGTTAGCTTTTCTTTCATTTATTATTTTAACCAGTTAATTGCTTATGTTTAATTTTCTAATTTAAGTTGAAATACTTTTCAAGCCTCTGTGGATTGCAACTTCATTTTTTAGGACGAGATCCATGAACGGGAACAGAATACCGATTACCTGCTGATTGCTTTAAAACAAGCGCTTAAAGTTCGCGATGATTTGAAGGTGGGCCCTCTTTTTGATTTTTTTTTATTTTTACGTGCTTTTATGCTTTAATTCAATTCGTTGGTTTACGAAGAATTAAAAAAGTTGCAAGTTTTCGACATAACAATTATTTTTTTTTTCATCGAAGCTTGGTAGTTATTTCCTTTTAAGGTGATACTGATGTCGGCTACAATGGAGGGAAACCTGAGAACTTTTAAAGATTATTTCAAAGATTCAGACGTGGCGCATATAAACGGTATTTTTCTTTTAACACAAAATCGAAATGATTGAATTTACCGTGGTATTTTTTGCCAAATTTTATGCTGTTATTGTACACTTTGTAGTTCCTTCGATGCTCCATCACGTAGAGAAGTTTTTCTTGTCTGAAGTTCTTGCACTCACTGGTTATCAGCCACCTGTAAGCTTATTCGGTGGCATTTTTTCCTCCTCTGGTGAACAGCAAGTGCAGAGTTACGACAGGTTCTAGTTTCTTAGCTAACTAAAAATGTTTTTTATCTTTCTCGGTATGCTCGAAACATTGTAATAAATTTTTTAAGCTTTCCTGCCGTAGGTGATTTTAAGAATGATATACTCGAAAATTCGAAATTGGAACAGGAACCCAGGCAGCACTTACTTCCAGAAATAACCACTGTTCGAGTAAGGGTTTCTCCAATTAGCTTTTTATTAATTTCATTTTACAATTTTTTCTTCCGCAACTGCAAGCGGATGAGGACAAAAATAACGAAAACATTGTAGACTGTGCCAAATTTAAATAGCTTTGTGATGCAGCCTAGAGGGGTCAACTGCAGTATGGCGCCACCATCTACTATTGCTTATAATCCGACTGTTTTACCGTCGACTACTGCGGTGATACCAAACCATTATGTTACCAGCGGACAAGTAGCTTGTAAGCGAGAATGCAGTGACAGTTATGAAAAACTTGCACAGTCTTTGGCAAACTGGCAAAATACGTGAGTTACATTTTTTGCCAATTAGGAAGTCATTTTGACTTGCGACTAGTTTTTGAGTGGTTTTGCAGTGATATATATGAAATCAGTGGGTGCAGAAAGACAGGGTGTTGAGTGACATAGAATAAGATATACTGGTTCGTATGGAGGTAGTAAATTGTAAGGTTCCGCTAATAATTCTTAAATTTTAACACTTTTAGCAGAATTGATGACAGACCTATTGATAGCAATGCGCACATAATGGTAAATAGGAGTAATGGTCCAGCTGTCTCTGGTTTGCTGTTTACTTATTGTTTTTCAACTCTTTATTGAAGATCTCAATTATGCTGTCCTATGTGTTGTTTTTAAAATTGCTGTCGTAGGAAATATTTCTAATGTTATATATTTCTGCTGATTTTTTATTTTATAAAAAGAAACAAGAATTTCAGAAATGGATCCAAATTCTGATACAACAAACTCTTCAATATTTGAAAACGGCTATCAACGCCGGTTCGATGCTGAAGAGGCAACAATGCGTCGAATTCAAAGTTCAGAGCGGGGTATTCCACAGCAGGTATTACATTTTTTAACTTATTTGATATGTATTGCAAAATTCGTTTAGATATTCAGGTGCTTCTTACTTTAAAATTTCAATTTTCAGCCGTGGTTTATTACGCAGCCACCTCCAAATTTTCAAATTCAGAGGCAGTTATCAACTCCTAGTTGCAATGTTGCACACTACATCTACCAGGATGCTACTACATTTTACCAGTTGCCAGTTAATCAGTTTCCATATCCGCAATCGGTGAGAGATGTCTTAGTTTTCTGTTCATATAAATAATGAATGCTGTGTATTGATGGAACGCCTCTTAAATTTTGCTTGTCTAGAATTCATAACTTGTTCGATATTATTTAGGCCATACCTAATGTATATGGTGTACCGCAAAATGTTGGTCCTACCATCTACTATGAACCAATAGTTCCGCAGCTAACTTTTCCGCAGTACCCTTCTACGGCTGTACAAACAAAATTTTATCTTCCGCAAGATTCACAAGATGGAGTGAAAACGTATTTTGCTCCTTCTCCTTTCTTGGATAAGGCGATTGTTGGAAATGGGTGGGTCTGCATTAGCTTTTTCACTACATTACTGCTCTTATGCTTATCCTGGCTTTATTCTTACTTGCCAACTGATTAATTGGTCTAAGAAAATTTTTGTTTTAGGTTTCCTCATCAGACTGATTCATATCGACGGTGTTATAGCACTGTTAGTCGTTTCAGTGCCTTTTTGAAAAGAATTTGTTTTAACTTTTTACTCCTCTCTTTATTTCCGTTTAACTCATCGTTTGATTATTGTTTTATGGTCTTCTTTTCTCACTTCAGTTCTTGAGTCTTCTTCTTTTTCTTGACCAAAATTAAATACAGCATTAGACTGTTTTTCGATAAGAAAGTGTGATCCAGGGAAATGCGGATAGTTCTAAGATGCGGAACGTTCTCGTCGATCGTCCTCAATATTTTGACCCAAGTTACACCAATATTCTGCGAGCAACCAAGATTGATAGCCATTCTGTTATTCAGGTGTCTTTTTTTAAAATTAGCTCTTTGTTAGTTTTTTTTTCAGCTTTTTTATTTCAAAAAAAAAAATCATTTTTTTTTGATATGTTATGTGCTACTTACTTGCTTAACCTAATGACGGTTACGGTGCATTGGTTTCTTGCAAAAGTTACGAGATTTCAGTCATATTTATCTGCTGGTGGTCAACAGTGGACTGATGGAATAGATCCAGACTTGACGGTTGCTGTAATAAAATATTGCATGGAAAGTGTTGTTCAAGGTTGCGTTTTGGATAATTTTCATTTCTGAGTGGTCTTGAGTTTACTTTTCGCGATACTTGTTGCTGTATTATTTCAGATTATTTTTTAGAACGGAGCGAAAGGTTTGTTTTTTCTTTATATGAGACATTTTACAGTTTTGTACCTTTAGGATCAATATTGGTTTTTTTGCCGGGGTATGAAGATATATTGACAGTGAGGGAGAAGGTTCTAAAAGACATGCAACACGTATGTTACAATTTAAAACCTCAAGTGTACACCTTGCACTCTCAGATGAACTGTTCTGACCAGCAAAAAGTTTTTGATGCAGCACCACCGGGTTTCCGCAAAGTGGTTCGTTAACATTTTTTGAATCGTGGACTCGTTCATATTGATAAATTTACTAAATAATAGCATTGTTGTTTCAGCTCCTGCTGGTATTTTTTAATTTATTAAGTTTCTTCGACTTTGTAGACTACTCGATTACAGATTCTCAGCACCAATATAGCTGAAGCTAGTTTGACAATTGATGATGTTGTTTTTGTTATTGATTCGGGCAAAGTTAAAGAGGTTATTTTTTGCTCACCTATCCTTAGCGTTTTTTCATTACTTCTGGAAAGAGTAGTGTGCTAAATGGCAAAAAAAAAATAAATGTATGATTCTATTTCAGAAGTCTTATGATCACCTTACTCGTATCAATCAGTTAAAAGTTGCTTGGATTGCCAAATCAAATGCAGAACAAAGAAGTGGGCGAGCTGGAAGATGTCAAGCTGGTTATTGTTTCCGCTTATATAGCACTGAGGATTATGAAAGAATGGAACCTACTCAGGTTACGACTTATCGCTTCTTATAATTTATTACCACTTTCTCTTTTGCTTTCATGTAAATGGCAGAGGAGTATGGGAAATCCACTCTGTCGTAGTGTTATTCAATTTGGCATTATTTTTTTTGTTTCAGATAGCTGAAATGAAGAGGGCTGCTATACATGATGTCTGCTTGCATGCTAAAATGTATGCGCCACCGAAGATGCCAGTCAAAGATTTCCTCGCGCTTGCTCCAGAACCTCCGTCTACAAACGCAGTGGAGTGGAGCTTAGAATTTCTTGAGGTTTTTCATTTTTTATATTGGTTTAGAACTTTTTATGTGGCCAGTGTGATGGTTGCAGACAAAGTAAAGTTTCAGCAGCTTGGTGCGCTACATAATGATCGGCAAAACCGTCTCGAGAAGAAGTCCGTTCGTGGTGCTCAGAATGACCGCTATAATATGTGCGATAGATCTATCAAAAAAGAACCAGATTTAACTTACTTGGGAAGGCATATTGCGCAGCTTCCTTTAGATCCTCAGCTTGCTCGGTTGCTTTTGTTTGGCACAGCATTCAAGTGTTTCAATCCTACTGTTACTTTGGTTGCTACTCTTTCACATCGTGAACCTTGTAAGTTTTACTGGAATGTAATGGAAGGTTCAGAATTAAGGCTCTTTTCTTGATTACATATAATATATTGTATTATGGTTATTGCACCGCACTAACACATGCTTTATATAGTTGTTCTTCCTCTCGGTGAGGAACGGAATGCAGCATTTTGTGCAAGAGATGAGTTTGGTAGATGCGATTATTCGGACCACTTAATGTTTTTAAGAGCTTTTTATGCATATCAGCGGATGTCTGATCGTCCGTTCTCTTTTTGCAAAGCCCATTTTTTGTCTCCTAATACGATGAAAATGATTGCTGGTATCAGGTAAATGTATTCTTATTAATTTTTTTAGAAATCTTTTATGCTGAGTATTTTATATTACTGTTACTTTTCGTGATGTTAAACGAAAACAAATTAAACTAAACCAGCTGTAGTCAGGTGGCGAAATTATGGTACATTTAGTAGCGTTGTTAATTCTAAAAGACTTGAGGTAGCTTAAAATTTTTAGGCGTCAGTTAGTATACGAATTACGACGTCTTCGTATTATTCCACCTAACTCCAATGCATTTGAAGATCCAGATCTTAACCGGTATAGTAGTTGTTGGCCTGTTTTGCAGGCGGTCATAGTTGCTGGTTGTTATCCAGGTGTTGGGTTTGTGAGATCTGGGAATAAGTTACGAAAGATAAGGACAAGGTATTTAAGATTTCTGATGTTTCCTCGTCATTCTCAACCTAATCAGTCATTTCTAGTGATTTTTAACTTTACTTTTCCTTCTAAATTGATAGAAGACAGACGAGCGCCATCGCCTGGGTATTTTCATCGTTTAATCTGATTCATTTGTTAATCAATTTAAGTACGGAGGCCTCTGCCACGTTACATCCAGGCTGTGTAATTAAGCGGCAAATAGTTGCACCAGCGCATCGATCTGAGATTATTAATAAATATGCAAAAAATGGAGAGGCTGAGGAACCAAGGATAGATTACCTTGCATTCCAGGAGTTGTCAAAGATTGATGACCGTTTGACGGTATTTTTTCAGTCGCATTAAATAAGTTTTGTTTTTCTCTCAGTGTATACAGAGTTAGTTTTTTAGTTTCTGTTTATTGTTTACTTACCCACGCTTTCTTACTAATAATTTTTGCATTCCAGCTTCGTACGGTTACAGCTGTTCCTCCGCTGGCTGTAGTTTTGTTTGCGGGTGCTATAAAGATGAAGAAGGAAGAATTGGAACATTTTGCTATTGGTATTTATTTATCATTAATATTTTCTATATGTGCATTTGTGAAAAAAAAAAA